CACCAAAATCAATTCAGATATGTAGTTCGCTTTGCAGTGAATGTGTTTAGTTCGTGTTAATGTTGAACGTCACAGCAGGAATGAATAATTTCCACCAAAAATATATTCAGGTATGCATCTCACGCCGAAGTGGATATGTTCAATTCATGTTTATGCTGAACATCACAACAGAAATGAATACTTCCAGGAAAATCTATTCAGGTATGTAGTTCGCTTTGCAGTGAATCTGTTCAGTTCGTGTTAATGTTGAACATCACAGCAGAAATGAATAATTTCCATTAAAAATCTATTCAGATATGTAGTTCACGTCGAAATGGATTAGTTCAATTCGTGCTAATGTTGAACATTACAGCAGAAATGAAAATTTTCTAGTAAGAATATATTCAGGCGTATAGTTCACGTCGAAGTGAATGTGTTCAATTCATGTTTATGTGGAGCATCACAGCAGAAATGAAAATTTTCTAGCAAGAATCTATTCAGGCGTATAGTTCACGTCGAAGTGAATGTGTTCAATTCATGTTTATGTGGAACATCACAGCAGAAATGAATAATTTCAAATAAAAATATATTCAGGTATGTAGTTCACATCGAAATGGATGTGTTCAAATCGTGATAATATTGAANCTTTCCACCAAAATCTATTCAGATATGTAGTTCGCTTTGCAGTGAATGTGTTCAGTTCGTGTTAATGTTGAACATCACAGCAGAAATGAATAATTTCCAATAAAAATATATTCAGGTATGTAGTTCACATCGAACTGGATGTGTTCAGCTCGTGCGAATATTGAACATCACAGCAGAAATGAATAATTTTCACCAAAAATCTATTCAGGTACGTAGTTGACGTCGAAGTGGATATGTTCAGTTCGTGCTTATGTTGAAGATCACAGCAGGAATGAATAATTTCTAGGAAAAATCTATTCAGGTGTGTAGTTCGCTTTGCAGCGAATGTGTTCAGTTCGTGTTTATGTTGAGCATCACAGAAGGAATGAATAATTTTTAGTAAAAATCTATTCAGGTGTATAGTTCACGTCGAAGTAGATGTGTTCAATGCATGTTTATGTTGAAGATCACAGCAGAAGTGAATAGTTTCCATTAAAAATCTATTCAGGTATGTACTTCACGTCGAAATGGATGTGTTCAATTCGTGCTTATGTTGAACATCACGGCAGAAATGAATGTTTTCTAAAAAGAATCTATTGAGGTAAGTAGTTTATTTCGCAATGGATGTGTTCAATTCGTGTTAATATTGAACATCACAACAGAAATGAATAATATCTACTGGAAACCTATTCCGGTATGTATTTCAGATCGAAGTGGATGTGTCAGGTGCGCGTACATAGCGAGAATCAATTGATATAAATATAATGCTTTAAAGTTGGATGGCAGGTATGGTATATAGTAAATTCAAGGCGTAGAATTCGGATCAGCTTTCAGCACCTGCTGGGAAAATGAATAATTCTAACCAAAAGTCAGTTCGAGTTTGTTATGTTCCAGGAAATTACTTTCCTTGTTTTGAGACGTATAAGTTTGGTTACATGAAAAAGTGAAGATAGCAATGCAGATTCTATTCGATCGCTGATGTCATGAGCTGTTGAAATTAGTGAACTGGGATCATTAAGGATTACGACATGAGTGATGAATAGTGTTCATTGGTGCCGTTCCACTATTCAAGCGATTCTAAAGACATTTGCTTTTTTAAGGTGAATAAGGCCATTGGCGTGAAAAATGACTCGGTATCGCAAAGGTTCTCAGGAAGTATTTCGTTTTGTGTGCAGTAAATATGAGTAAATGATGCCTACTTGGGGACATTGCGTTAGAAATGAATGATATGTATTAAATTGAAGTCCTAATAATCAGTGGAATCGTTGAGAAGCGATACGCACTTCAGTATGATGAAAAACTGTGTGCTAAACAAATGAATTCAATCAATGGTGTTTTCAGTTACATGACTTAGGTCTAAGTCTTAGTGTGCATTTTGTCAAGCATACAAAGTCATGTATTAGAGGAATTACTGCTATCAACATCTCTTTCTTATATTTGGATAGCGCAGAAGAGCAACTCGTCTGATTTTGCATACATTGGATGATTACATGTTGTGTGATTAATTTTGATTAAAAATATATTCATTTACGCGGTTTACTGTTTGTTATCGTGGTGGATCTAACGATCTTATAGAAAACTATCTCTTTGCTGAATGTTTTCGACCAGAACCCTTTTCAACTATCTTCCCTGTATCGTATTGCCCTGAGTAGCACATCGCATTGGTTGATATCGAATTACAAATGAATAAGTTGCAGCAGAGATCTGTTGAATAATTCGATGTATCTCAACAAGTAATTAGGCTGTTAGGCCCAGAGTCAAGGGTGGTGTTTAAACTGAATGTGCTTTAGAATAGTTCATTTCCTATATTGTGGACACCTTTTTAAGAGGGAACAATCGTTCAGAGGAAAAAAAGAACTTTGTGTAAGTGGAATTGAGATACAAAAATTGCATTCAAATACTCTCGCCATCGCCAAAAAGAATCGAATCATTGCCGACACTGATGAGAATATTATGATAAGTCCATTTTTCACACCAGGTTATTGTTGCAATATTTTGATCTTGGAAACGATGGGTGTATTTCTAATACTATCCTAGAATGCTGGCTAGTTACATGAATGGTTCTCAGCAGTGTGATGTTTGAATTTCTTATTGCTCTGAATACGAAGGTCTTGCGATCGAGTCATAGGTTATAGTAACACAGAAAATCAACGAATACTAGTATTGTAATGTTCATCAATTTCACAAATGTGCGTGAAAGACTCATCATGACGATAACGATCGTCGTTTTCATTATTAATGAGCATATATCATTAATTCGATGTTCACGATTTATATAACACTGGCGATGAGGAACTATGCGCCACTAAACACCAGCTGCCAACACCATAAATACATAAGTTTGACAAAATTGTACGTCATAAATAGTCGTATTTTCCAGGCAGTTGTTAAAATTTTAATGTATGATTCAAGATGACAACAGAAATGATTAATTTCTACCAAAAATCAATTCAGGTATGTAGCTTATTCTCAATGGATGTGTTCAGTTCGTGATAATGTTGAACACCACAGCAGAAATGAATAATTTCCAGTAAAAATGTATTCAGGTATTTAGTTCACGTCGAAGTGGACGTGTTCAGTTCGTGTTAATGCTGAACATCACAGCAGAAATGAATAATTTCCACCAAAAATCTATTCAGGTATTTAGTTCACGTCGAAGTGGACGTGTTCAGTTCGTGTTAATGCTGAACATCACAGCAAAAATGAATAATTTCCAATAAAAATATATTCAGGTATGTAGTTCACGTCGAACTGGATGTGTTCAGTTCGTGTGAATATTGAACATCACAGCAGAAATGAATAATTTTCACCAAAAATCTATTCAGGTATGTAGTTCACGTCGAAGTGGATGTGTTCAGTTCGTGCTAATGTTGAAGATCACAGCAGGAATGAATAATTTCTAGCAAGAATCTATTCAGGTATGTAGTTCATTTCTAAATCGACGGAGCAATTGTTTTCTCGGTATTTTATAACTGTGTAAAATCGAACGCCTGTAACCTCTTCATTAAATTATTTGCTGTTGTTTTGAAATGATAGTTTGAAGTTAGTAAGATGAGTTTCGTGTACATAAGTTTTGAACTACTTCAACAACGGCGCCATTTATTTGTTTCGTGAACTTTACAGAATGGAGGAGTTTTCTCATGAATGAGTACAGATTGCGTAGGAAGTGAATCATGATGAACAAAGTTTCGTTACACTATTTTATTGTCTATCGATATTTACCCTTTTTGAAAGATGACTGTGCACGACGTAGTAAATGAACTATCATGACAAATGAGTTGTTCTACAATGGGGCGATTCAGAAATAATATTTACCGAGAAAGAATGAAATGTGAGGTTTGTTATAAAGAATGTTTGATGTTGTTTTGAGTTTTATAGCAGAAAGCGATCTGAGTCGGTGATGGTTTTAGTGCTGGAAATAGAAAATTGTTAGTGATAATAGATTTTGTAGAAGATGCATACTTTAGATTACCATCAAAACTGGCGAGTGTTCTACCTAATCGAACAGAATTGGTGCTCTGCCAATGAATTATTGGCTAGTGGTTAATTTTCCAAGGTGAACTCGATCCCGTCAGATTCTGTATTGATGATTGACCTCTTCGGGTCAACAACAATGCAGAAGCGAAATTTCACCGGATAGCGATCCACTTTCGTTAGTCTCCATTGGCTTCGAAGTTTCCATTTTTTTCTTCCTAATCAGCGAACATGTCGTTTCAACTATGTCAAAGCCTGCAATTGTTTTTTAATTTATGCATGTTTTTTGTGCAGCTCGGAAGTGCTTACAAGAGATTAAAAAGAAGGTGACCTGTTGGCATTATAAGCAATCATGCGATTAAGGATCGTATCACTTTTCGTTCATTTTTTACCATACATGAGATACCTGTGATGATTTCTGTTGTTAGAGATAGTATTAAAAACGGTTATGCATAATATTCATTTCTATTTCAAAAATCATCCACACATTGTATTTAGCTAGTGCTTTTATACTATCGCTCCGAGAGGAGTGGCAGAATTCTCACAAGAACAACCACGAGAATTCTGTAAGAAAAATAACCATATGACTTAAAGACGCAATGAACACAGCCAACACAGAATTTTTTTATTATGCAATAGTTAACCCTATGACCCTGACAGTCCTAAAGGGACAAATGAACTTAAAACATAATGTTCTTGTTATAAAATAAGAGAGGGAACAACAAAACAAAAAGAAAGAAAGAAAACAAAGCAAAAGCAGGAATAAGAGATGGAAAGACGAAGAAAAAAATACAATAGAATGAAATAATATAGAAATGGACCAGAATGATAGAAGAAGAGAAAAAAAGACACAAGCCAAGAGAACATTCCTTCATAGCATTATAATCTTAAATGGATCTATTGTTTAAAAAAAAGCTCTCTGGTTATAAAGCAAAGCAAGATAACTCATCCTCGTTGCAATCAATAATTGAGTCAGCCGTCCCATGAGTTCCCATCCATTTAATCACTTGTCCAAAGATATCCACATGTGATACAAATCTTTTCGACCTATATAGACAACGAATCAATTTTGCATCTTGGTGCCAGATAGTTCTATGTGTATTAAGTTCTGATTGCTCCAGTATAAGATATCCATCCCTGGACTTGGCTAATGCTTTTAGATATTTTTCCCAGTAAACATAACAATGGTCATCCAGTGATTTCTCTCTATATAATGATGGAAACAGTAGATCCTGCCAGCATTGACAATAATAAATCCGCTTCAAAAGTGTGAAGTATAGATGGCTAAGATCAGCACGCTGCGAATCGGTTAGTAACGGGAAAATTCCAAATAGCCACGTGAAATGTGGCCGCACGAATGTGGAGAAAAGTGCTCGTCGTAAATGGGTGGAAGATGTACCACTAATTTTGAACGAATTAACCAGCGCTGTTTTCTGACGAACAGTAATTCGGATCTTTGTTAGAATATTTCCCCACCCCAGCTTCGTCGTGAGCCAGTAACCTAAGTACTTGAAGGACGAGATCCACTCAATCTTGTGATCTCCGCAACGAACTTGAGGCATCGGGTTTGGATATCCAATCGCTCTTGCCGAGAACATTGCTTGCGTTTTCGCATAGTTTATCGGTTGTACCGATAATATCGAGTAGAATTCAAGTTGATCTAGGAACGATTGTAATCGACGTCCGAGATCAATGCACTGATCAGTAAAGCGAATTCCTATTTGCCCGGCTAGTATTGCTGCCAGATCATCTGCAAAAAAGAATGACATTGCTCCAGGGATATAATCAGCCATATCACTATGATACGTAATGCATAACGAGGGTGTAAGACTCGAACCTTGTGGACCACCACGACTAATTTCAATCCATCTCGATCTTTTACCCTGTCCTTCGATTGTTGCTTTACGACCAGTTAGCCAGGCATGAATCCAATTCACATACGCATGTGGAATTCCCAGTCTGATGAGCTTCCCCAAACATCCTTCAAACCATAATTGATCAAATGCGGACTTAAAATCTACGAAGACAGTCGAAACCGGAGAGCTATTTGCCATGTATGACGAAATCTGTTCGATAAGTAATAACACACGCGTTTGTAATCTATGCCCAGGACGAAAACCAGATTGATTGTCTGGTAATATACCTCTGTCTTTCAACACTTGAACGAATCTGTTGAGAAATAGTTTTTCCTGAACTTTCAAAAACGAATAGAGAAGTGAGATAGGTCGTGTTTGATCAGGTACACATATAGCACTTTTCTTAGCGAGCAGTACCATTCGTACTTCTTTAAATTTCTTCACTATATAACTTTCAGTAAATGAATAATTATACAGTTGCGCCAGAAGAAACCAGTAATGTCGAGGGATCTTGTCCAGTAGAAAAGGTGATAGACCATGGATATCTAACGATTGTTTCTTCTTTCTTGATCGTAGTATATTTATTATTTCTGGGTACGTAACACACGGTATACCATTTGATGCATTCTCCCATAAAGTGGAAGGAGTGTCGACGTATGGGTGTGGACGCATCACAATCGGAGCCTGAAATAGTTTTTCATAATAATCTGCAGCCGTATTAGCCGTGACTTGTGGATCTTTTGTAACCTCACCGTTCGGTGTTTCGAAGCCCCTCAGAGACGAGGATACATGTCGGAAGTATCTTTTTGCTTTATTCCAAAAGAGTGTAGAGCCTTCACCTTGTACATATCTTTCTTTTAACTGTTTAGTAAGTTGCTCCTGCTGGAACGTTTTAGTTCGAAACGCGCTAGATTACGCAGTCGGCGAGCTTCCTTACGAAGTTCTATATCATCTTTCCGCTTGGCTTTAAAAGATAACGAACGACTTTGGGCAAGAAGTGCCATAAGCTCCTGTGGAACGGACGGTCGAGCACGTTTAATTTCAAAAAACTGTTGACATCTGTAACTAAGCAATGCAAGAAACGAAATGAAATGTTCGTACGTAGTTTCAGATAATTGAGTATTCCATTCCTTTTTTTCCCAGAATTCAGATGTATAAGATAAAACTAACGAAAAAGCTGACCATATTGTACGAGATCCTACAGTTGTCGGAGCACGATCATCCGTAAATACACCTAATAATGGTTTATGATCGCTGCTAGTATCACCTTCATAAGTTTGTATCGTCAAATCCATACCATTGGTGACAGCATAATCTATAGTACGATCTGAACGAAGCGATGTATTAGCGCCCGGAATTATAGTCATGAGTGAACAAGAATCTACCCATTCGAGAAGTTGATCAGCTTTGTCTCCATCACGTTCGATATCAATATTGAAATCCCCCATGATCATACAACGATTGGTAATTAAGGTCGTAAGATCGGTCCAATTCCAAGTTTTACTTGCAGGGGCGTGAATTGCAATCAGTCTGATTTTTTCACTCAAGAAAATATCGATTACGCAAATGTTGGGTAGTGAGCATAAGACTCTTCTGACATGAATATCTTTACGTATCAACACCAGCACTCCCCCATGCGCGTTTTCACCTGCTTGATAAAAGAAATCGTAGTTGGATAATGCAGCACCTACTAAGGACAAATCAACATGTCCAACTTCACCTAAAACTAGAATATCAGAATGATGTTTTTGAACTAATAAACAGACTTCCCCCCATCGTAAGTCTAGGTCACGAACGTTGAAGCAGAGTATATGTATAAAAGAAGATAAAAATTGTTCATGCAGTTTTTGATGTCTTTTCCAATTTGAAATAAGCTCAATTAAAGAAGAAGCAGTATGCCACTCATGAATAACTTCCGCTAGTAGACTAAAGTCTTTCTTTGCGAGAGTATTCCGAGCTTGATCTAAGAAGCAGTTGGATTTATTTTCATATTTATATTCATAATTTTTATTGGTGAACTTGGTCATTGAGTTGATTTCGATAAGGACGATCGTACTTCAACCATTGTTTTAATTTGATCTTGCCAATACGATTTCCAATTAATTCCTTGGGACTTTTGTGGGTCCAAAATAGAAGCACAGATATTTTGAATTATAGTACAAGTACGCACCGATATATCTTCAAATTTCTTTTCCATTGATTTTACCTTTTCTTCTAATTCTTCTGTCTGTTGTTTCGTATCAGCATAACTACTTCGTATTTCTTGTTTAAATTCTATCAATGATTGACAAGTTGCATTCGATTCTTCTTCCATTTTTGTTAAAATACTATCGAGTTTTTTAAATATTAATTCGTGTGCATTTGAATTAGATGGCATCTTTTTTACGACGTTAGCATAAGATAATTCATTTGTTGTTGTACTGATATGTTGGTTGTTGCTCTGTGCTGGCTCGGGTCCTGAATTATAACCAGTTACTGGAATTACGTTTGACAAGAGATTACGAGTTAGAGTGGACCCATAATGTTGCACTATTTTGCATTTTGAATCATTTGAGATGTGTGCTCCACCACAATGTATGCATTTTGAAACACCCGAGCACAGATGGTCTTTCAGATTCGCACATTTTCACCACAAGTTTTACATGCTGCTTCATTTTTCTGGGGACAACTCTCCCTGAAGTGCCCTATTCCAGAACAGTTGGAGCAAATAAGTACACTTGCTTGCGCAAAAAATTCGACCACTTTGTATTTTAAGTGTGAAACTGTAATTTCCCTGGCTTCAAGGATCTCGTTTCGTGCTTTGACTGACATAAATTCCAGTTTAACTGCACGTATTGGCTGTTGTGCTTTATTTTTCAATCGAATAACATTGATTGTACCAGGATATATATCTTTCAACTCTTGCATAAATTCTTCCCAGTCCACTTAAAGAGATACAGCAGGTATAACTAGAGCGAGTTGTGGTGGAATCGATGGTCTTTTTATTGTATAGTTAGAACCTGATAAAGATGTTGGCCAGTTTTCTTGGTTATACAGGAACACGAAAGATTCACTATTCTCAACGAAGATGAGTATTCGACACTCGTTATTTTCAGCACGCCCACGTCTATAAGGTACCATTCTCAAATCAAAATTAAGATGTTCGCTTGCATGCTTGGTTAGATCATCAATAGCAATCTTGTCTCGAACCTCCTGCGAAAAATTAACCGAAAATGGAGAGAATGGGAAGCGCGTAGTAGCGAAAGGACATGACGCAGATGTAGGTTGTTGTAGATTATCTGTTGATTGCACTATCGGTTCATTCATACCACGATGGCGTTTAATAGAAGTATCGTTTGTGTTGAAAATTTGAGTAATCTGTGGATATTGAGGTTTAACTTGAATATTCGAATCTGAGATACCACTGGTATCGTTGCGTCCTCTCTTGGCACTAGCTGGTATTGGCGTAGAAGCTACTGTTGGATTAATCATTGATGAAGGAGGCATCTCCATTATATTAGCGACTGGTCGATATATGGATAAAACTGCTTGTTGTTGAATCATGTTGAAATGTAACATGGGTTGTTTTGCATAAGCATGTGCCACGTTGTTATTTAATGATGATTGTTGTTGCTGTTGAGGTTGATGATGAATGAATAGGCTGGTTGGTGAATATTGATTGACAATTTGATTATTTGGTAATTGTTGTACGCAGACGTATGGTTGATTAGAGTTAACCGGTTGTATATTTGCTGGAGTAGTGTAATAAACTATTTGTTGTTCTTTAGTTGTTTCATTGTTAGAAGCCAGTGGAACATTATTTAACACTCTATACAAATCCGAATTTTCCTCGGCCATATAAACTGGTTGCTGTAACTCCATATTGCTATGTGAGTTTCCATTTGGGGCGATCATTTGTCACCAGAATCTCCAAGTCTTAGACTTAGATTCTTGTGAAAACGAACCACATAAAAATCAGAGAGCAAAAATCACAGAACAGAAGCGGCAAGTAAAAACACGTCTCACCACTGTACGCACGAATGAAGGAATGAGCCAACACAGAATTCAGTTTCCCTTACAGAATCCTGTTAGACAGATCAACAACCGCTGTCTACTATGATAAGATATATTAAGAACTATGTATCATAGACTTAATACATTAAATAGTAATTTCAGACTATGCTTTTTTTTGCAGTACACGGAGGTAAAAATAGAAATTATTAATCGACAATAAATATTAATTGTGATTATATATTAATACTTTGAAAGAATTCATAAAAGTTTTTTTTTCTAGTCTTAGTACATGAAATAAGAAATAAAAAGATATCAATGGAACTAGTACTTTTTTTTAAATAGGAAAACAATGTTTAAAGGTCAAATTTTTTCACATCGTTATTTTTTAAAGATAGAAAAATGTAAATATCAAAAATGTCTTTAAAATTGTGTTTTGTCTCTTAATTAAACAACAATCGTCGAATTATAAGTCATGTTTTTTTTTTAAAAAAAACAATTTTTCAGTCATTTATAGTTTATTAGCATAAGAATAATCCTACGTTTTCATGTATGGAGATATTTTTTGAATAACTAATAAATCGTCATCGTTTTTCTGTGTTACTCATCTATTTGAGTCCTTTTTTTTCTTGTTATTGTCCATTTATTAGCCGTTCCTTTTCTTTTTCTTTTTTCTCTCCCTAGCTCTCTCTCTCTCTCTTCATCTTCATTGGTTATATTAACCTGTGTTCTATGTGTAAATGATGCGATTTATGATATAAAGAAGCTGAATAAATCGTAGTTACATCATTACAAGCATTTATTTTATGAAAACTCGTCACATTGTTTACATGCATAGGGTACGCTTTTATACCCAAAGGAGAGAGAGAGAAAGAGAGAAAGAGAGAGAGAAGATAGAGTAGAAAACGAAAGGCTAATAAATGGACAATAGAAAGAAAGAAAGAAAGAGACAAATATATTGTTATCATCACAATATTTAATGATCTTAATAAAACATAAACAAAAACATTTAATAAGTATGGCGTGTATATTATTCAGAATAAATATTTATACTTACAATTGTGTTGAGAGTTTTTAGATATGAACGATTAAAATTTTTAATTCTATTTGGTACAAGTGTTTGGTTAGTTCAACTAAACCAATAAAAATATTATCATTTATTTTTATTCTTAAATCTAATATCAGTAATAAACCAATAGTTTCATTGAAAATTTTTGTATGAATATATGGAATTGTATTGTTTAAAAGTTTGAATTTGATTAAAGTAGCTAATCTCAAAAATTATGATGTAAAGATTGCGTTTGAGAGAGAGAGGATCAAATATCATATGTACTGAATAACTGTTACATTCTATCATTTCAAGGTAGTCATTATTTTATGAACGAAAGATTATTTTATAAATGTTTATGATAATCTATGATAATCAATTAGCCAAACATAAACAACAGCTTCGATCCTCTTTAGTATATGTATAATGTCCACTTGGTCCATTTAGTCGAAAAATTTTGTCGAATATATCTTTATAAATTATATCAAGTACCCAACTCGTATCAAAAAATAATTAAAATCTCTCAACATTTTTATCAACAATATCAATCACTATATCATCTTCATATCTTCTCTATACTACTACAATTCACTGTTAACATATTCAATAACTTCCAAATGTTAAAACGTTTTTTCTATCTTATTCCGAAAAAACATTATGAAACTTGTTCTATTAAAGAAAAGAAAATCCTCTATTAAGCTAGTATTTATCTAAGTAATCCATGATACATGGGCTCCGCATTTTAGCCCCAATGGGGTTGTGTTGAAAATCTTTTTATCTGCATTGATTTCTTTGTAAAACTCAATTAATCGACAAATCAACATTTTTGAATTCATATATAGAAATTGGGTGTGGATGTGGGTGCCGGGGAAGGGAGATACGCTTGTCTACACACACATATGTACCCTTAATGTGGGTGCCGGGGAAGCAATAGTGTCAGAGCAATAACGTCAAACCTGAAACCTGAAACTTGAAACTTGAAACTTGAAGTTTCAGTTGAATTCAAGTTTCAAGTTTGACACTACTGTTAAATAAAGATAAAGCTACTGTTTCTTTTTCTTTATTTTATAAAGATAAAGATTTCATAAATTCTTTATTGTTTATTTTATAAATGTAAAAATTTCATTTATCTTTATTTTTTAAATATAAAGGTTTTATTTATCTTTAAAAAATAAAGTAAATATAAAGTAACACCCCTACTTCTGATTCTAGTTCAAAATATTCCTTAGATAAAATACAGGAAAGCTTTATAACAAACTCATAATTCTGCTTTTAAACAAAATTCTAAGAAAAGCTTCCGTTTCGATTAGAAATATATATATTCTTGTATTGATACAATATTCTGTAGAGAATACAGAATTCTTACCAAATTCTGCCGGTAAACGATTAATTCTGCTTAGAATTCTGTTGTCGATCTAAGATAGTGTGTGTGTGTGTGTGTATATAAAATGACACAGGAAAGAAAGAATATAATACAGGAAAGAAAGAAAATAGCACAGGAAAGAAAGAATATAATACAGGAAAGAAAGAATATAATACAGGAAAGAAAGAAAATAGCACAGGAAAGAAAGAATATAATACAGAAAAGAAAGAATATAATACAGGAAAGAAAGAAAATAGCACAGGAAAGAAAGAATATAATACAGGAGAAAAAGAATATAGCATAGTTTATAAATGAACAGAATTCTCGAATTTTGCTTGGTGAGAATTCTGCCACTGCTGGATGTAAAAGGTTCGACCTTGATACTTTGATCTCACGTTTCAACGAATTTTCTATGCTTTTTCCATCCCGAGATCACGGCACAAGAAAATGACTATTTTGATGCGTACGCGTCAAGTTAAAAACAAAAAAAAACTCGCGACGGACTACATGAATGCTGTGCTTCGCACCGCATTAATTATGCCAAATAATTATTTTCAGCGCCCACCATAAAATAAATTAAACTAAGATTTGATATGACTTAACAATACAAATTAAGAAACGCCACAAAATAGCTATGTATATTCTAATATTCACTATAAGATCCATTTTATTCTTGTTATTAATGCGGTGCGAAGCACAGCATTTATGTAGTCCTACGTATGTTTATTAGAATAGTGAACAACAATATTGCAATTGACGCATGATTATTTGACAAGCAGGACGAAAGTAGATTTTCTTACTATTGAATAGGCAAAGAAAAATCATTTCTGAATTGCTTCACAACACAACTATCTCTTACACTTTCGTCTTTTTCTGCTCTTCTTTTCATTGTAGCTCAGATAAATCTGGTTTAATCCTTGTAGAGTATCTATTATATTTCTCATTCAAAACTACCAGTCTGAATGATGCATATCGTCTGTTTGTGCCCATGCTGACTAATAGTCAGTGGACAACATTGATATCATTCATTGAATGCGTGCTCTTGTTATTCATATATACATAATCTGCCCACACGACCGGCAAGGAAACGTCTGTAAACAAAAAAGCAGTCAGTGATTCAATCAAAACTGCGTGAAATAGGTAATATGCATATATCAAAAATAAACGAAACCGAAAATTTCGATATAAAATAAATGAAGCGTATGAATGACTGTCTCTGCTTGTGTTTGAGATTCAATTTCTCATTGTACGACGGGAAACGACCGTACAGCACGGGAAAGCGCTGGAAAGTGGAAGCAGTATTCCAGTCAGAAATTAGCAGATTTTTTTCCTGTGGATTCCGGTCAACTTCCAGCTGGAAAACACAGGAAACTGACCAGAATCCACAGGAAAAAAATCCGGTAACTTCCAACCAGAATACTGCTTCCACTTTCCAGCGCTTTCCCGTGCTTTTCGCTCAGATACGGTGATTTTTTCGCATCTTTCCTGCCGGCTCCTACGGTATCCGTCCTCCGGAATCATTGACGTGGAACTACACATAAATGCAATCAAACCTAATAACTAACATGCGTATGCTTGAAATGTCGGATTTATTTACCATAAATGATTGAAAGTAGAAAAAAAAAGAATATAATTGATATTTAATGTCACGTCACACTATTTTAAAAACCAAAAGAAAATTGCATAAAACTCTAATTTAGCCCATCACCAACTAAAATATGAAAAGATAGCAGTCTATTATTAAAACGTATTGATGCTAGTTTACGATAAAAAGCTTGTTTGTGGTTAAATATAAACTTTTTATCATTAATATCTATGGTGCTTAAAAAATCTTCGTTGATTGTTCATTGTTCGTTTGAATAGTCCTTTAGCGAATGAAAGTCCACGTTCTGTTTTGCTGGCATCTTCTGTAAATATTTTAAATGCATCTTCCAGTTTTCGATGTCAAANCCACTCTTCTTGTTCGCTTTTGCATTCCTCAGCAGCCTCTTCACGTTTACTGCCGTGGTTTGGTAATAAAGCTTCTTGTTCAGGCGTTAAGTCAAGATTTGCGCCACTGACGACTCCATTCATAATTGCAATGACAAGCTCACATAGAGGATTTTTTTCCTCTTCACTTTTGGATGCAAACTGACGAAATGGACGCGATTGAACACTGTTGCAAAATAAAGCGACCGAAACACATAAGAATGCAAACTTCACTGCCGAATTCATTGACCAGAAAAAATATTTATCGCTTGAGAAATGTAACGAAGAAGATTTTCATTGCCGTCGCATTTCTCTTGCATTTTATACTACTAGTCAATCAAGCGAAGCATAGATAAATTATAATTGGATACGATTCGCCTACACTTGAGAAAAGGAAAGTGACTCTCTGAATATTTGCTTGTCAATTTTCATCACTAATTAGTAGAATATCGATTGAAATATGAATATTAGGAACATGTTTTTGCTTGTTGTTCTTATTACGAACATAGCTCCTAATAAGGACAAATCTATGTGAGCTTCATTACTAACTATTGACTATGGCGCCATCTGGTACGCGACTTGATTTTTCTCAAAAATCAACTTGAAACTAAAAAGAGTTTTTTAATGACCTGTTGATCTATCATTCTAATATCTAAATAGCAAGAGTGTAATATTCACGTACCGTTGCTAAGAAACAATACTGAATACAATCACAAATGGAAATGATGGATAGAGTTTTATGAGCGAAAACTGTAATTGTAATTTTCTTTTGTTTATACACTGATAGAATATGGCCACATTAATGCAACAGCAACCGACTATGAGAAATAAAGCATTAGAAACGATACCACAGAAAAATTTTCCTCTTGTACATGTTTTGACATCGAAAACTGAGACTGATGAATTACAGGTTTGCTAATAGTCACAAGCCAAAAAACACAAATTCTTGTCTTATATTTAATTTAGAAAAGTGAACCATTCAATTTCGAAAAGACAATCAAGTTTCTCACTGATCCTCATTCAGTAAGAAAATCAAGTATGATAATTATTGAAGATCTATAACTTTTTTCTTCTAAAGGCACATCTACTCGATCGACGCATTCGCATATGTCAAAAGTTATGTCGACACTATCAAAATGGATTTGTATGTGTTTCGTTTTGTCAAATTTTTATATCAAAATAAAGCTTTTGTTTTTTTCTCTCTTTTAGATTATCAAAGATTTAAATCATTTTATGAAGATTTTTAACATACTCGGAGATCTTTGTCAACAACAACCAAATTATATTGATGCATTTGTTCAAATTTTACAACATTGTTCAAAACCATTTCTATTGGATAAAGCAACTGATGGAGAAATTTATTCGTCAGCGCTTGTTGCTTTCTATTCGGATTATGGTAAGAAATTTTTTCTTTAATTTTTCACAGATATCATGAGGTTCTATTATTCAATTAGGATATCTTCTTCGTATTCCAATAAAACGTATTCAAAAATGTATACTTGAAACACTTTTCAAATCGATTCAATCATCCAATAAATCACCAGTACCTTACGATGATTATGATAGTTTAAAGCCAACTACAATAGAATATCTTCTTCGTACTCAACGTAACAGTGATCTTTGTGAAACACTTGTCAAAGTAGATAGAAGCGCATAAATATTTTTTCGTGATATCAAAATTTGTTTTTCTAGACTCTTTCATTGGTTGAAAATGATTTATCACTTCGTATTCTAATTATAAAATTACTACAAGTTTTAGCAGCAAAACATCGTATGTTTTACTATGAATTTTCTTTATAATTCATTTTTGTTTTGTTTTTCTAGCTGAATGCATAGCAAAAATGTTAACACAAGATTGTGTCAATCGTCTAGTATTAAGAATGAATGATCCTGATTCGACCGGAGAGTAAGTTAATATAGCTTCTAGTAAATATGAATATTGTATCGTAGATTACTGTTAGAAAAAATACTTGTGATTTTCAAGTATATCGATGTCCTTATTGGCAAACTTGAGGTAGATTGTGAACTGCTAATTAATACAATGTGAGAGAAATCTTTGATGTATCTTCAAAAATCTTTTTCTGAGTTTCGTAAGGATTCAGGAATCTCTACTAGTAATAAATTAGTTATGACTCATTTTCTCCTTTGAAGTTAAAATGTATTAGCCTCAGTATATTAATACTTTATGCATAAATGAAGAATTTTGCTAAAAATCTATCGCTAGGGAAACAATTTTTCACATGTATTTCTACGGTTAGAAAAGAACTTTTTTTCTTCTTTCTTTTATTTGTTTTGTTGCTATTCGCTCGTTATTTTTTCACTTTCGCTTTTTCTGAATTGCATTTGATTACTATTTTAACAATAGTGATATCTATTATTTCCAAAAATTAGACAATAATTGGTTTAAAAATCGTTGTGCCAGCACTCATTGTCCTTGCTAAAAAAAACATTCGGCGGCTACCTTCTGTTGCTAGGAGAATTTGAGAGAGTATGGCTAATGCTGCTTACTATGAGCTGGAGTTTGAAAGTATTGACTTAAAATTCAAACCCTTGTATTATCCATTGAAAATGAAGGACACATAACCATTATTCTATCAATTTCTTTGTATTCCTTACGGAAAAAAGCGTTTTTCATACAATAAAATTCTTCAAATGATTTCTAAACCGTCGAGAATCTTTTAGACTTCTATTTCGTACGATTGAATTACTTTGGAATATATTTGAAAATGGTGACGAAGAACAAATAGGCGAACAGTTGAATTCTCGTCTTACAATAAGGTTTGTTGTGACATGATCTTTTTATTTCTTTTATATTATAATACGTAATTTCATTTTATAGTCTTCTACAAGAAGCTTTTCTCGGTCAAATAACACAAAGTCATAGTCATTATCATCGTCAACTAAGGTTTTACTATTGTTTTATAGATTGAATAAAAATTTTATTCTGGTTTTGTTTTAGAAACGATATTCTCGTTGTTTGTTCTTTAATCATTGGTCTTAAGCCAGATGCTCCATTTGTTGAAACAGGTTTTGCCAAACAATTACTTCTTTTTGCTTCATTTCCAGAATGTAAGCGAAATATAAAAATGAATTATTTCATTGATATCTAAATGCATTTTTTTAGTGCGAAGCAACAATCCATTGGTAAAAAATTTTAAATTAACAAAATCACAAGAAGATTTCGAATTTAAAAAGTTACTTTTCAATACCGTTGTTGTACTCAGTCGCAATCCCGTGGTGAACGAGGTAAGCTCGAACATGTACAGCTGTTTGAAAATTGGGCTTATGGGACTTCAGTTGATTGAATCTAAGAAAAAACTAGGATTTTTGAGCCTATTTTTCTTTCTTTGACTTTGTGTGAACTAAGATATTTTAATTGACACTTCTAAATTCTGTTTTCTGTAAATCTCCTGAAATTTTGCTGAACACCGTTTGCGAAGAAACTTTTGGACCGTACATCTATCGACATTAATGGGTTAAAAGTCATTCATTTCATTTTAGTTGTTGATTGAGAGTCGAGTACTACTTACTTTTTTGTCGTATATTGAACCATTACCACGAAAAAGTCAACCAGGAACTGTATTTGATTGGTCACTATCACAAACTGAAGATCTTCAATTACATGCAATTGCAGCTCTTACCATACTTTTGCCACGATCTTTAAATGAATATTTTGAATATCATGTCGGAACAAGACTTTTATTATTTTATGAATGGACCATAAGTGATGGTAATTTATTTTTGTTCGTTCATAATTCATGATAAATATTTCGTTTGTTTAAGACGAATATCAAAGTCAAGGAAATAGTTTTTTTGGAAAAGGTGGTCGACATAATAAACGATCACAATTGAAATATATTTTTCGATTATTTCGTAGTCTTCTATCAATAAAAGATGAGCGTGTACAAATTGATTTATGCGATCAAGGAATCATTCCATCGATTACTAGTTCGTAGAGTTTGTTTTCTACCTTGTAATCAAAATCGTTTCCATTTTTGTCTATCAAGGCTATTTAAGACGCATGGGACAACAAAAATCCATTAATCTAGATTATGTTGATTTGGATATTATTTGTGATGGATTATTTATTTTAAGTTGTTTATGTGAATTAGATGTGCATAGAAAAGTAAGAAAAATTTCTAATATTTTAAATGCAATCATATGACATGTTTTGTTTTTGTTTTGTATAGGAAATATTCGGCACTGAAGGTATTGAAACACTCATTCAACTACTTGTAATCGAATCTCATTGTGTTTGTGGTGGTCTTGGCTATCATCGTTTACTTGTCGCAGCTATCGATTGTGTTTGGTGTTGTGTTGTTGGCAGTGTTATTAATGAAGATGAGTTTATTCAAAAGCAAGGCATTTTTGCTTTACTCGATTTAATTGAAGTACGAATTTTGTAGTGTTTTTTTTTCAATGTGTCGAATGTTTTCTTCAATAGGCAAATCCAAAATCATTACAAAATGTTATTCTTGGTTGTGTATTAGATTTATCAGAAAATTCAAAATGTCTTCATTTCATCATGACATGGCAAGGACAAAAACAACAACAATTTACGCATCTTCTTTGTGAACTATGGCGCGATGAAGAACGTGAAATTCATGTAACTTAATAGAAAAAAAATAAAAATCTCAGTGCTTTTTTAAAATATGTGTTTTGATTTATTTCAAAAGGTTTCTCGAACAGAGAAAGGTGTAATCCATGATCATTCAAAACCATTGATGGGCGTTCTACAGCAATCAGTTCAAATAACACCACTTGCACGTTTTGAGCCATCACGATCAGTTTTAGATTTAATTGATAATATGCGATCAAAAATTTATGGATTTTTCTGTAAATTAGGTTTTAGTGAATTACCTGGTTTACACGAAGAAGATTCTGTTACATTATGTATTATTGAAAATTTTCTGGACTTTAAAATGGGTGAAATATGGCAAGAAATTGTTACTGAACTTGATATAGAAGGTGTGAAATTAGTGGCACCTGATGGCGAAGCTGTAGATACAATTTTACGAGCTACAGAAGAACGCGGATTGGGTAAGAAGAAAAGCAAAACAAACATTATTTATAATTTAAAATTTTTTTGCATTCAGCTGTTGCTGCAACACAAAACTATATCTTAGAACAATATAATAAGCAAGATTTACAATTTGAAAAAGCATTTTATGATGACGTAAGAGACAAAGAAAGTTATGAGGGTCATTATTTGTGTGCTTGTTATTTCAGCTAATACGAAATCATTTATTCAAAGAAAAACGACTTGAACAATGGAAAATATATCTTGCTCGTACATCGAAATATCCATTACTTATGGTAAAAAAATTGAATAGAAAAACAAAAATACTAATTTATTATCTTGATTTGTTTTTCTTAGGCTGCGAAAGACTATCAAAGTCAAGCTATTCGTCAATCACGACCAGAAGAGAAAGACTATTCAGGTTATCATACTGTACACAATTTAGAAATTCCTAATCTATCAATTACAGTAAATATTTATTTTTGTATTTTATTGTAGTTTAATAATTAATAACGTGGGTTTTTCTTTCAGGCTTTCACTGGTCCATTTTTACAAATTGAAAGTACACCTGTCGAATTACTTAATAAACATCATCAAGTAGAATTAATTTCATAACACCAAAATCTACATAATCAAAGACATTTTCAGTCTATTAACATTATTTTATTATTGAAATAAATAAATCTATTGAATAAAACTCATTAAATTGTGAATAAGAAAATACATTACACTGCCGAGTTAAAGCTCGGGATATACTCGATATCAGTGTTAGTACGATCTGTCACTGTCAATGATCTGGAATGTTGAAATCCATGACATGTTTTAGAACATATTTATTCTTTATCGTTACGACATTATGAAGTAGCTGAACTAAGAGAAACTAACAAGATATGTTATAGTCGGATATCAACTAATTCGAGGAAGAATATCATCATCGAAATCATCTTAGTTCTAGAATATAGGAATGCCATAAGGTATATATTCACTAAATCATACAAACTCATCAGAATGAATCCAGTAAACGACTTCACACACTCAATAGTTTGTAGGAAACATACTAGAAGAAGTTAAAAAGATTATTAAAAAGTAACATAAATGGTAAAAATTCAATATAAGTATAGATAGAAAGCACTGAGAAAAAACTTAGCACTCGTTCGACATAATCGCAAGATTTACTCGATCGTAGTTAGCGATCACCAAATTCATGAAATGATCTCTATTAAAATTACCAGAAACAAAAAAGCACTTGGTACAGATCGAAAATCAAAGTCAAGCTCTGAATCTAGCACGAAACTTCCATTACTCATGCCAAAAATTACAAATACTTTATTGCCAACAGAATCGGTAATAGCCATATCAAGTTGATTGTCGTTATTGAAATCACTAGTAGTAATCGAAGATGGACGAGAATCAGATTCAATAATATATGGAACTATACTCATGAAACTTCCATTACCTTGTACAGCAAGAATGCCAATGGTATTACTTTTTGAATTAGCTATGGCAATATCTGTATGATTGTCGTTGTTGACATCACCTACTGTAACTGGCACAGGGCGCGTGTTAACTCCTGTTGAATATATTTTTCCGTTGGAAAAGTTGCCATCACCGTATCCCATAAATACACTGATAGCGTTAGCCCCATTGTTGGCTATGACGATATCCGAATTATTTTCGTGGTTAAAATCAGTAATTGCAATTGAGCAAGGACTAGATCAATTGCCTATTGAATATGTCGTTCCTGTAGAAAAGAACTGTGTACCATTCGCTACCGTAGTTGGCTAAGCCAATATCGAGTTGACCGTCGATATTGAAGTCTCCTACTGCAACTGCATATGGATTGGATTTTGGGTGCAATTGAATATGTTATTGGGGTGGCAAACGCTCCATCTCCATATCCGTAATATATACTGATAAAATTACTCAGAGAAAAAGGTATAACGAAGTCCATTCGTTAGTCGTAATTACAATCACCAACGGCTGCCCTCCTAAAATTAAATTGAAAACTCCTCTATGAATATCATAAAGATCAAGATATTCAAATATTTCATACAAAAGTTCATTGGGTAGATCTTCAAAGTGACTCCTAAATAGAAGAAACGATTCTTTTTTCTTCGGATACTAAATAGATTCTTTTTGAATAAATAATGAAAAAATTCTACATTGTGCAATTTTCGTTTTTTAATCCAACTATAATTTGAAATTAAGTCATTCTCTTGCCATTGAATGTTTACGATAAGTGAAAAACGATGAAGCTGAATAAATACAAGCACGGACGATTGTGTATCCGTCTGGCAAAAATAATGTCACACGATATTCTTGATATATCATCTTCATACATTAACATTTTAAGAAATGTAATTATATATTCGGATAGCCCGTGAAATTCTCGATAACTCAATGTATGTACATTTTGAATTGTGCTCGTCCGCTAGAGATAAATCCTTGACTTGCAATTATTTGAGGGCAAATCTTTCGAGTATTGCTAGTGTACTCAAGCATCACGTTTCTAGGTCTCGTGCTGTTGAGAGTTCAAGCAATATCCCTGCGGAAAGTTGCTTATCTAAGACCAAACACTCCCAACAGCACCGAGATCAGGTTTGATGGGTGGTTCGTTATCCATATCTCTTACGTTTTTAGCAGATAATCGTTCATGGGTTGCTGCATGAGTTCATGTGAACTAAGGTACAATAGCAATGCTCGAAATATTTGTCATCGAACAAATGCAAGTCCAGACTGGCAGCAGTACCGGATGATAGAGAATTTCACGCGCTTTCAGAATATATACTTACTTTTGTAATAACTGATTCTATATATAAAATAACAGAAAATGAATTTTTGGGGGATCTGACAACGAAGGTGCCTTTACTGCACTTGAATTTATCTTTAGCGAACGAGTACAATTCAAAATGTACACACATTCAGTTATAAAGAATTTCATGGGCTATCCGAATATATAATTACATTTCTTAAAATGTTTATGTATGAAGATGATATATCAAGAATATCGTGCGACATTATTTTTTCCAGGCGGATATATGTACATAAACGAACTGATATTATACAGTTATTTTTCTCTTTATACACATAGACTANAACAAAGAAATTTTCAATGAATTCAAATAGAAGAATCATTATCATACCATCGATGTCTAAAAAGAAAAAGAAGACAATCGTTTATTCCGTATACGAGAATGCTTTTTTTCAAATAACCTCTATATATATGAACGAATTGAACAGATAATATCAAATGTTGAGGTGTTATAAGATTCGATTGTAGACTGTTCATTGAAATTACACGAATGATTAATAACAAGATGTTCAATGGTTGTTAATTGTTGATCAGTAGCAAGTGGCAATAGGATAGGTTCGATTGTTTCATCGGATGGATATGCAAGAAATTCCAATGTTGGAAAAGTAAAAACTAATCGATAAATTTCAGTTGAACTTCTTGATGTTCATCCTGTATCAAGAGTTAATGAACAAAGACGAGATAGACAAGATAAATTAGTAAGAATTGAAATTAGTATTTGCAGTGGAATTTCTTCAAGAACAAGTGGCTCGAGACGTGTCAATGATGAATCGATTCGATATAATGAAAAAAAAACCTCCTTCTTGATGGTGGTGACACACACTATGAAAGAATTTGCTGTTTATTATTGTTTAAAAGTTGTCGACACGTGTTCATGTATGTTTCATCCTGTGATGATCTTATGGTTATTTTCAATAGAAGATTTGATGAATTAAGAGGCTCCGGAAATCGATGATTAAGATGTGAAAATGCTTGGTATATTGTACAACCATCAAGATAATCGAATGTTTCATCGAAAAATTCGTTTGATAAATTCTCAATAGAAATAATCGACATGTTTTTAAGTTACATAAATTGAAATAAATCGCAGCTGGTTGTTTTCTCTTCGTATAATAAAGTATCAAAAGTATCTGTACATATATATATATATATATATGTTATTATTACTTTCCTACCTGTACAATGAATCCTTGATAGGATCTTTTTATTGTTGAGACCAGTGCTTTGCTCCGGAAGGACAGACAACATCTTTTTAAGGAATAATAAATATATCAGAACAAAAAAACACTGAATCAGCAAAACACAAAAGACGAATAATCAAAAATATAAGAACAATATCAAGTTCTATCATGCAATTGAAAATGCTAAATGACACGGTTTTGCTTTTTTTCAGTATTTAATAATTTCCTCTTTCATCTCTTCATCTAAAGTATTTACATCTTCAATTGATCAACGTGTTCGGTTGTGAAGGATGTGGATCTTTCCACTAACGGCAAGCCCGAGAGCATGGTAAATTCCTATTTCCAGGAAATTCAAAATGCGCTACATACTATAATAAAGTAACACGTAGATAAAGAAGTGTATACAAACGATGGTTATCGTTTGGATTTCTATCAAGCCATATCATACAATTTAATATAATGTAAGAGTCATTTATATATCAGTATCAATTCTGTCTATATCCATATGAATATGTATAGGTTGTATACAGATTTGGTGGGTTGGGTTGGGATGGGACCAGTAATGATAAATACATCTGAATAAAATACATTTTGTAGATGTATATATGAACTATATACTTCTAGCTGCAACTGATTGAATTAGATTAAAAAGGATACCGTCGGATTTCATCGTAAATCTGTCACCCCCTTGTTTTTAATCTCAATAGTTTGTAAAGATGTAGCTTGAAATTTTGCATATTTCTGTTTATTTCGTTTGGTTCTAATTGAATGACAAAATAGCTTTTGGAGTTGAACTAGTCTCAAGGTTTATATCACTTTTGCATATTTCGGGCGATATGTATGATACCCATATGTTCTTCGTTTGTGTATTCTATTCTATATGAAAACTAATAGTGTAGATCTGCGCAGTTTTTCACGCACTGAAAAATAATTTATTCCTAAAGGTTATTAGTAATTTTTCTATCAAATAGTATAGGATCAAACATGTGAAATATTTCACATGTTTGACTGTATACGTACTCGAATGAGAAGAGACTAGTCTCATTATAATTACATATTTTTCCTCAATTGTAATTAGGTATTATTTATTATTCTTCTTGAAGGACAAAATGGTAAAAGATGATGTGTACAATCGAATAATGAAAATATACAGGAGAAATTATTAATTCTTGCTACTGATTGAGGTGGCACACAATTTAAGCTCCACTCAGCAGTCATCAAATGTTTAATTTTAAATAGTTAATCGTTTTTGCTATGAAATAATAACTAAAAATCAGATAAGTACTTGCTTTATCTTTGCTTGTCTTTATTGTAACCGTTATATAATCAATGTTATTAATTATAGAAAAAAGCAGCTCCGCCATCATGTATATATCTGTTATACAAAAAATAAGAAACGAAATGTTCAAAAATAATACACTAATAGTAAGGATAGATTTACATAAGTAAAATGCTATCGCATGACTGAATTTCAATGATTATGATATCAATGAAAAAGAGAATTTCATATAATTGAGAAAACAACAAGTTATAATTTATAATTATTAGAAAATTAACTGTTTTTTGAGATTGAATATGTATATTGTTGATCAGTTTTTTTCTGCGTTGATATTACCGAGGGTGTGGGTGTGGGAATGCGTGGAAGAAGATATACACTCACACACCCTTATTACAAAGATAATTCTTGGTTTAGCACAAACAACGGTTGTGAAGTCATTAGCAATTATTCACATGGCTATGCTTTAGAGGTGAAATTCATTCTAT